AGGCCACGCACCCTTATCGCATTGCACACGGACTCTTCATTCCAGCCCTAGCTCAGGCCACGCACCCTTAATGCATTGCAGACGGACTCTTCATTCCAGCCCTAGCACAGGCCACGTCCCCTTAACACATTGCAGACGGACTCTTCATTCCAGCCGTGCCACATACACCTGCCTGTCAAGCCCGACATCCTCCCATCTTCCCTTGTTCAGTCAGTGCACCCTGTCCCTGGGTTTTCAAACTAAACTCCAGGAATAGTGCTTGGTTCTTCCCTCTCCGTCATCACCCACATGCAGTCCGTCAGTGAGTCCTGTGCATTATACCTCCCTGGAAACCCTGAATCACTCCATGTCTTCCCATCACCACCGGCTGCCTCATCTAGACCTCCACTGGCTCATGTGGACAGCTGCAGCACCTTTGTCACAGGTCTTTCCCTCCTGCCTCTGCTCAGCCCCTTCACCATAGAGCAGCCAGGACAGTCTTTCATATGAGTAAACTGTCCGTCCCTCCCTGTGTAAAACCTTCAGTGGCTTCTCATTTGCACTTAGACCAGAGGCCCTCCATGCTCTGGCTGCTGCTTACCTCTCCAGATTGTTTCTAGACACTTCCCACTGCGATTTTACACTACCACCTGCTGTCTTTTTGGACCAGAACACTGAGGTCTTTTCTCTATCAGGGTCATTGCAATTGCTGTTTTCTCCACTGAAAATCCTCTTACTCCAAATCGACAAATTCTGACACCTCCTCGTCCTGCAGGTCCTGGTTCATGTGCCCTTTTTCAGGAGACCTTCCATGACCACCATCTCCCTTATTCTCATTACCTGTCACACTTGGGAATTTTTTTGTTTCTTTGTTTTGTTGTTTTTCCAGGATCTCCTCCCTCTTACTTACTTTTCAAAGTCAGTTCGTTCCTTGAGGACAGAGAGAAACACCATACTGTCTTGTCTACCATTGGATTCCTAGTGATTAGAGTCATGCCTGGTGTGTGGGAGGCATTCAGTAAATACTGAATGATTGAAGAGTGAATTAAGGAGATGCTGACTCATGCCTTGTACTGTAACTGCTGCAGGAATTCACAGTAGCACTTTAGCTATAGGTAGTCTTTAGTCACGGGACAGTCAGGTACATGTCGTCTACGCGTATGTGGCCTGCTTGCTCTCTCACAACTGCACTCACTACTTTCCCTCCTGGCAGAAGCTGCAGCAGGGTTGTAATACTTTTATTGTGTAGCATCCATCTTTGTAGGTTTTTATTTCAGTGGAAATACTGGGCTCACCATTAGCTTTCTGTTCGCTTTTTGAGACAGGGTCTTGCTCAGTCACCAGGCTGGAGTGCAGTGGCATGATCACGGTTCACTGCAGCCTTGACCTCCCAGGCTCAAGTAATCTTCCCACCTCAGTCTCCTGAATAGCTGGGACTACAGGCGTGCACCACCATGCCTGGCTAACTTTTTTTTTTCTTTTTTTGCAGAGACAGAGTCTCTCCATGTTGCCCAGGCTAGTCTTGAACTCCTGGGTTCAAGTCATCCTCCATTATCAGCCTCTGAAGTGCTGGGATTATAGGTGTGAGCCACTGTTAGCTTTAAACATTCCTTTCTAACTCGGTTGCATTGGTTTTCAAATGGGGTACTGTAAATGTCTTTAAGATTTGTTGCAGTTCTGGAGTCCCCATTTACTCTCCAGGTGTTTTGAATGCACAGCGTTCTGGAACTTCCAAGTCCAGAGCTTTCCCCTCGCCCCAGTTTAGAGCTATCTCTGTCCCTCTGTATGAGGCTTTGAAGGTAACTGCACAATTGTGCTTGCACACACCCACAGCCACACACAGAGATATACGCGTCCTATTGTTGTCAGCAACATGTACAGTAGTCACTGAGATAGAGGGGAATCATTTAGTTTTAAATTAAAACTTTGTGAGGCACATTGGTAAGAGTTCCGATTGCCTGTGTGCGGGAAACACAATGTTGGCATAAATACGATGAATCAAGAGAGCTTTATGGAAATTTTCTTTTGTGCCTGGAGTTGATTATGGTTCAGCTGTCTCAAGTTGGTTTTTGTTTTTCTTGTATTTCTCTTACTCTAGGCACTTGAAGAGGCTCAGAAAGCTATCCAGCAACTCTTTGGCAAAATCAAAGATATCAAAGACAAAGCTGAAAAATCAGAGCAAATGGTGAGTTCTGGTTTCTTCCTAACTTTTTTGCAAAAAAAGAGAGAAGTGAGCTGCTCATCCAGGCATTCTAATAATGGGCTTTTTCTCCCACTCCTGCAGCCACAGTCATCTGCATCTCTGAAGCAAGCCCCTGTCAATGCGTTCAGATCAATTCAAGGGGAGCTGCTTGCTGGACAGCAGTGACTCACCATCTCTGCTGCCCTGCCTTGGCAGCCCTGGTTTTAAATAGGCAACGTTTTGGTTTTTTCTCTCCTTTCTCAAAAATAGTTTCCTAGTCATTGTGGATTCCTTTCTCTCTCTTCTTTTTAAAATTTTCAAGCTATCCCTCTGAAGTGGATTCCTTTCTCTAACATTTGTTCGTATCATGTATTTCTCAGTCAAGGTGTACAGTATGTCACTTGGTAGGACACAGAGAATATGCTCCCAGATCTGTGAGGAGGGATGTCTCCTGCCCGTGATCCATGTGTGTAGAACACGGAGAATATGCTCCTGGATCTGGGAGGAGGGATGTCTCCTGCCTGTGATCCATGTGTGTAGAACACGGAGAATATGCTCCTGGATCTGTGAGATGTCTCCTGCCTGTGATCCATGTGTGTAGAACATGGAGAATACTCTCCCGGATCTGGGAGGAGGGATGTCTCCTGCCCGTGATCCATGTGTGTGGAACACGGAAAATATGCTCTGAGATCTGGCAGGAGGGATGTCTCCTGCCAGTGATCCATGTTTGTAGAACACGGAGAATACTCTCCCGGATCTGTGAGGAGGGATGTCTCCTGCCAGTGATCCATATGTGTGGAACACGGAGAATACGCTCCCGGATCTGTGAGGAGGGATGTTTCCTGCCAGTGATCCGTGTGTGTGGAACACGGAGAATACGCTCCCGGATCTGGGAGGAGGGATGTTTCCTGCCCGTGATCCGTGTGTGTGGCACACAGGGAATATGCTCCCATATCTGGGAAGAGGGATGTCTCCCGTGATCCTGTATGTGGTTTTGGTGGAATTCTCCCTTGACTAATTTGTGTCCCCCAGTGCTGTGTTCAAACGCTTCCCTTGAATTCCGAGAACCCAGCATTCACCCTTTCCTCCTCCATGGGAGGCACTGGGGAGTGCTAGAAATCCAGAGTTCACAATCTGACTAAATAATGTCCTGTCTCTCAGTTGTCTCAGAAGTTCAGTGTCTTCAACTGTAAAATGAGGATAATGGCACTTGCTTCACAGGATTGTTGTGAGAATTAAAGGTATGGAGAGCACTGAGCCGAGTCCTAGCGACCTGATTCTGTGGTCCTTCCCCGAGGATGCATTATACTCAGCAGCACCCAGGCATCCTCGAAGCATGTTTCAGTGACAGTGTCCAGTGCTGCTTTCGCTTGAGGTTATTGCCTTTGCCGATGTCCTTGATGCTAGTCTGTATTCTGGACTTGCTTCCTCTTCCAGCTGAGGGGCTTTGCAGTGGCAGTTTGCTCCCTAGTTATTAGATGTCTCTCTTAAGGCAGTTCACTTTCCTGGACAGTGCTTTGCTGAAGGGAGGAGACATCGGCGTGAGGGGAGAAGTGATCTTTGCTGAGCTCTTTTAGTGTACCAGCGCCGCGCTGGTTTCTTTGTACTGGCACGCTAAGATAGCCTTATAACAACCTTATGAACTAGATTTTATGATCATTATTATCTTTGCAAGTACCCATTTTATAGATTGAGAAAACAGTCTTGGTGAGGCTGAGAAACCTGTCATAGGATGCAGAGCTGGTGAGTGGTAGAGCTGGGACTCAGTCCCCGATCTGTCTGTCTCTCAAACCTGCCACTTCGTGTTCTGTCCTTTCTTGGCTGCTCATGGGCAATAGTTGAGGTGAATCAGCTATGGCATTCTCTTTTGCACATGGTCTCTTGTAGTTTGACCTGAGTACCCCTTGCGTGCCCTGCCTTTGAAGGCTTTGTTTAGGGAAAAATAAGTAGTTTGGTTTGCCTAGAGAAGCACAGGCTGTGGGACGGGGAGTGATGGGAGATCCTGGGAACAAAGAGACTAGTCAGCTGCAGTGCAGAGCAGTGAGGGACTGAACAAGAAAGAGAAAGAAAGGCAATAGGAAATGACACAGAAGAAGAGTTTTTAGGACTTAATGACTTACTGATGCAGGGACTAGGAAGAGTCATAGAGGACTGTGACTTCGAACACAGTGGTTAAAGACCCCCAATGTGGCCGGGCACAGTGGCTCACACCTGTCATTCCGGCACTTTGGGAGGCAGAGGGGGGTGGATCACTTGAGGCCAGGAGTTCAAGACCAGCCTGGCCAACATGGCAAAATCAAAAAATGAGCATCCAAAAATGCATCGTGATGCATGCCTGTAATCCCAGGTACCCTGGAGACTGAGGCAGAGAATTGCTTGCCTGGGAGATGGAGGCTGCAGTGAGCCTAGATCGCACGACTGCACTTCAACCTGGATGACAGAGGGAGACTCCATCTCAAAAAAAAATAAATAGATAAAGACCACTGATGTTAGGACTGAAGCTAAGAAACCCAGAAAGAGGTACAGAGATTTTTTTGTAGGAAATAGGATGATGATCTAAGAGTTGGAAGTGGGTGATGAGATTACAGGGCCGGTCTTCTGTTTTCTATATCTAGTTTATTATACCACTCCTGGCTGTTTTTTTCCCCCAAATTCAAGTATTTGGTAAAGTGGTAGGTTTCCCACTTGTCTGTTGAATATGCTTTCCTAGTGCCTGAAATACACTTGCATCCCCAGAGATAGTGTCTTTTCTCTTGGACCTGCTGAAACAACATTGTCAGGACCTTGTTCCCCAAATTGCCTTCTCACCCCTGAAGTCTGCTCTGCCCTCTTGGTACCTTACATGTTAAGCATGTGTTACTGGGGGTTATATTTCAGTCATTTTGAGATTTGAGAGTAAGTCTTTTCTTTGCTGGAACCAGGCCATAGGCCCTAGTTCCATTAATAAAGACCATCTGAGTACAGTGTACTGACTGGTGCGCAGCTTCAGCACCCGAAGGCAGCCTCTTCTCACCTCACTTAGGAGGAAATGCACTGTGCTCGCTGCCTCTGTCCTGTATGTTCAATACTGATTTGCTGTTTGGATCATTTCATTTGGGGCAAAAAATAAAGTTTATTTCATGCTCACAACTAAAGGTTTTATAACTCTGAGCAAAGTCCAGAGAGATGCCACATTACGTTTAAATGCCTGCTTGGAAGTTGTTTTGATTTTGTATTGTGAGAATGTTTGCCAACCTGAGATTTTTCCCTGCTTCATCTGTATTAGTTTCTTATGGAGTTACTTGCAAAAGTGTTTACATCTTTCTTAATATTATTCCTTTCTTGTGGCTTTCCAATGTTTAGGTGAAAGAAATCACCCGTGATATTAAGCAGTTAGATCATGCGAAACGCCACCTGACCACCTCGATCACAACACTGAACCACCTGCACATGTTGGCAGGAGGCGTCGATTCCCTCGAGTAAGCAATGCCAGCTTTCTCTGCTGGGGCCACGGGAAATGTATCACGTAGAGAGAATGTACTGTGGGCTCACTGACTTCTCAGACAGGAAAGTCTTACCACCCTGCCCCACTTTCTGCAAATTGGCTTCAAGTGTTCAGTTACCATTTTTGCTTTGTGCCCTCTGGTGTTCACAACCTAACAAAGGCTGGCAGCCAGTCTGAAGGGGACCCGGGAAGGTATTCAGAATGACTCCAGGAGTGTGACTCATCTTCAGGTTCTCGCTCTGTACCATCAGGGCAATGACTCAGGCCTGTCATCACTCTCTGCGGCTTCTGCCTCGGCAGGCTTCCTGCTGTATTGGGCTGAGTTGCGCTGTCATGGAAGACACCATATGAGACAGGACTTTGAATCGTTCAGACGACTTCTTTTTTTCAATCTACTTTTTGAAAAGTAGCTTTGTGTTTGGCTTGTAGAGGGAATGGTACATGAGAACAGTAGGAAGAGTTGGTTATTTACTACAAAGAAGCAATCTAAAGCCTCCTTTACTAGCAGGATTCTGCCACTCCAGCTCACCTCTGTGGCCTCAGGGTGATTCCACGTGTGTACAGGGAAAGTCTTCATAGAAACTGAGATACAGCATTCAACGTCCTGGGTGCGGGGAGTGGGAGAGTACCTTGAGGGAAAGAGGAGAAGGGGCAGGCCCCTTCCTGACCTCTGCTAGGCATTGTATGAGTTCCAGGGACCCTGGTCCACCCTCCTGTGAGCAGTGAGAGCAGCAGCCAGAAGGGGGGGGTGGTGAGCAGTCTCATTTGTTCCTTCCTCAAGTGGTCTGCATTGTCCACCAAACTATCGGACCAGGCAGTGGTGGCACCCTAACACCTTGGCTCAAACTGGATCCTTTTTCAGTACCTCTTAAGGAAAATAATAAATTACAAATTTAATTAAACAGCCCAACCCTAATGAAAAATTTAGATCTGATAGTTTATGCTTCCTTCCTCCCTTTGTGTTACTTGATTTTATCAGCATCCTTTTATTTAAGCTTCATTAACCTTAGCAGTAGGGAAAGCAGAGGTCTGTGGCACAGAGATGCCTCAGAACCTACAGACTGCAGTTAATAGGTAAGGGCATGCCCTTTTTTTGCTGGGGTGCGGGGGTTGGAGGGCCTCACAGTGTTGGCTAGGCTGGAGTGCAGTGGCACTATCTAGGCTAGCTGCAGCCTCCACCTCCTGAGTTCAAGTGATTCTCCTGCCACAGCCTCCTGAGTAGCTGGGATTACAGGCATGTGCTACCATGCCCAGCTAATTTTTGTATTTTATTAGAGATGGGGGTTTCACCATGTTTGCCAGGCTGGTTTTGAACTCCTGACCTCGTGATTTGCCTGCCTCAGCCTCCCAAAGTGCTGCGATTACAGGTGTGAGCCACCTCGCCTGCCCAGATGGGTTTGGTTTGCTCATAGGCTGTAATCCTCAGATGGTAACATCCCTACCCCTCTTCTCTGTCCAAAGCTTGCTAGTCCCATAATATCCAGCCCAAATTCTAAATCTATAGTCTTCCCAGATTCCCCCCCCCCCACACCTAATGAGAATTCATCACTGATGCATTCCTTTGTATCCACCATAGCACATAACTTGTCACTCTGTTTAGAACATGGTTCATCCTATTTGATACTGGTTAGATGTGTACTTGACTCTCTCCCTTACTATGTGATGTCACCTAGAGGATTTGGACCATATCCTATACTTTTCCTCCCCCAGTGCACAGCATGTTACGTATTCAGTGCTCAGTGAATGTTGATTAAACTGAGTTGATGTCTGCTTTAGAGCTTGAGTAGGTTGTTCTGTATCTGTATCTTGTGTCCTTAGTGTTTTTCTAGACCTTTACACGTCTTATTTCCTTGCAGAGCCATGACCAGGCGAAGACAATATGGAGAAGTTGCTAATCTCCTTCAGGGTGTAATGAATGTCCTGGAGCACTTCCACAAGTACATGGGGATTCCACAGATCCGGCAGCTTTCTGAAAGGTAAGCTGTCACTGGAGGAAATGATCTCGCTGTCAGAAAAGGACCTGGAGCTCTGAAGTGCTTAAGCACTTAGCTCAGCACGTTCACTGCAGAATCTTACTGTATGAAGGAACCTCAGATGCTGCCTGATCTAACTGTGTGGTGCAGGTGTCCCCCGACAACACCCCTCACCATGTCTTCTGCAGCTGCCTATGTTAGAGAGTTACAGTTGTCCCCATTTGTGAGAGAAACTGTTCCAGGTATCTATTTCTTTGTGACACACCAGCATAAAACTTAGTAGCTTAAAACATTAATTGTTTTGCACATATAATTTGGCCTGGCTCTGGGGATCAGCTGATTCTGCTCCATGCAGAGCCGAGGCAGCTCAAGAGGGGAACTGGAGAATGCACTGGCTGGCTCTCATGGCTGGCAGGTTGGTGCTTGCTGTCAGCTGGGAGCTCAGCCAGGCTGTGGGCTCTCATGGCTGGCAGGTTGGTGCTTGCTGTTAGCTGGGAGTTCAGCCAGGCTGTGGGCTCTCATGGCTGGCAGGTTGGTGCTTGCTCTCAGCTGGGAGCTCAGCCAGGCTGTGGGCTGGGATCTGTTGTTGTCTTCCATGAGCTGCTTAGACTTCCTCGTGGTAAGGTAGCTGGTTCCAAGAATGAGCATCCCAAGAGAACCAAGCCTTGGAAATTTCATAGCATCATTTCTGCCATGGTCACAAGCCTGCTAAGATTCAAGAGGAAGGAACATACTCTTCTCCCACCCCGCTAATGGGAGGAATGTCAAAGTCATGTTGTTACAAAAAGCATGTGGGATGGGGTAGATTGCTGTGGCAGTCTTTAGAAAATACAGTGGCTCATGCCTGTAATCCTAGCACTTTGGGAGGCTAAGGTGGGTGGATCACCTGAGGTCTGGAGTTTGAGACCAGCCTGGCTAACATCGTGAAACCCTATCTCTACTAAAAATATAAAAAATTAGCTGGGCATGGTGGTGTGCACCTGTAGTCACAGCTACTCGGGAGGGAGGCTGAGACAGGAGAATTGCTTGAACCTGGGAGGTAGAGGTTGCGGTGAGCCGAGATCATGCCATTGCACTCCAGCCTGGGTGACAGAGCGAGACTCCATCTCAAAAAAAAGAAAACAAAGAAAATATGGTGAGCCACTGAAACTTCAGATATGATAAAAAGATGACTTTCTCTCCAACCTTATTCTTTCCTTCTTATTGCTGTTGAGTTTTAATCCCAGATTCAGATCCAGTGGAAAGGAATATAGTTACTCAGAGAGAAGGAAGATGAGGATTCTAAAGGAGGATGAGTAGTTGACTCAGTGCCTTTTCTATTGGAAGTCGGGACAGGTAGAACACTGAAAAGGCAGAGACCATCACAGTTGCAGCTAACCTTGCAGCAAAGAAGAAATGAAGGGGTTGTTACTTAGCAGCAGCCATCATTTTTGATGCCTTTTTAATAAGATCTGACTGCTACAGGCTTCTTTGTTTTCCTTAAGTTTCCCTATCTGTAATTATGTAAGAAATACACATAAACTTTTTAAAAATAGAGACACGGTCTCACTTTGTCACTCAGGATGGAGTGTAGTGGCACAGTTATTGCTCACTGCAGCTTGGAGAGCTCCTGGGCTCAACTGATCCTCCCGCCGCAGTTTCCCAAGTGGCTGGGACTACAGGCACACAGTACCACATCTGACTAATTCTGTACCTTTTTGTAGAGACAGCGTCTCGTTCAGTGGCCCAGGCTGGTCTTGGGCTCCCAGAGCACTGGGGTTACGGGCATGAGCCACTGCAACTGGCTCCACGTTTTCTCTTGTTTAGAAAGGTCAAATAGGCCGGGCGCGGTGGCTCAAGCCTGTAATCCCAGCACTTTGGGAGGCCGAGGCGGGTGGATCACGAGGTCAAGAGATCGAGACCATCCTGGTCAACATGGTGAAACTCCGTCTCTACTAAAAATACAAAAA